GTTTAGAGTGACGAGGTACGTACTTACTGTGAAATTACTGTGTATTAAAAGTCTGTATCAAGGAAGAATGAACTGGGTTAATCAAGAAAGGTCATGTATCGCTGAAGTTTCTTGGAAAGAATTTATACCGGAAATTAATAAACAAGCAGATACGTAACAATATTCCATTGGCACCTTTCTTAGTGAAGTAAAATTAATCAAGTGTAAAACTTACCACACAGTTGATTCCAAATTTATGTTCAGAAAATTCTGCAACTTGCAAACGTTCCTGTACATCCCACACTCTGAGTCGTGGTTCGTGTCCACACTGTAAGAGAAAATCTATAATGAATTAATAAGAAACTAAGAGATAGCAAACAAACAGCAACGAAAAATGTTATGTTTTTCCGTTAATAGATGAAATAAATTATTCGGCATTAAAACTGACAAAAGAAAGTGGTAATTTGTTCCGATACTGATGCCATCCTAAAATTACCAAATTTTAAATTAAATTAAATATTTAATTGTCACGTGTTATTATCTGTGGTAACTACTAGAAATATTTAAAAAAACCAAAGTGGTACATTTATGAAAGAATCGTGTTTCCTATTTTGATGTCAAGCTGAATTAAACAGTGTTAAGTAAGTCTGTTCAGTAGGATATCAACACATGCTGGATGAGGCTCACCTCTCCCGTTGCCAGGTGTGTCCCATCCCAGGAGAAAGCCACTGAGGTGATGGTATTTTTGGAAGAATTGAAGATGTGGTTTTGTTTGTTCTTGTCAACGTCATACAGCACCACCACATATCTGAAACAAAAATACAGTATTTGCCCTTTTTCTGAAACAACATTAGATTACCTTACGAAAATTCGTTCCTAAGACAAACATATTTAACATACATTCCAATAGCAGTTTTTACTTGGGATGCACGGGTACGCTGCCAGATATTCAGCCTCAGCCGGGTATTGGGCCACCCGGTAATACTCGAAGTTAGGAATCTAAGACCTAATCTTTGTGGTATTGAAACTTACAGTCAATAATTGTGTTACGTATCTGCTTGTTTGTTAACTTTCCC